TTGGGCGGCCTGAGCGGCTTGGGCCTGCTGCTGGGGGTTGAGTGAGGCGTGGGCATGCGCGTGGGCGGAGGGATAGCCGCCCATCGCAGCCATGCTCATCGGACTCAACGAAAGAGTCGGCATCGAGGAAGGCATCGTTGGCACGACGCTGCTGCTTGCGGGCACGGCCGACGGATGCTAAATCAAACAACGAAATCATCAGAGGAATAACAACAATAATAATAATAACAATAATAATAATAATTACAACTATAAAACAATAATTATATTAATATAATACTTTACGAAACTATAACAAATAAACTCAAAGTTCTAGAAAAAGGAAGAAGGGGCGAAAAAGGTTAGAGGGAGGGTCAAATGGAAAAAGCCAAGAAAGAGGCACATAATGGCACACGTACACCAAATGTAAGAATGAATGAGTAGTGGAACTCATCATAGTTCGTGAGCACTGCGATCGCTTAGTCTAGCGATACCATGATAATATAGAACATTGATTTCACCAACGAAGGTATTATTAACTCGAACATTGAGTAGAAAGATTTTGATGGATTGTACTTTGATCATCTACCATTAGTACACCTAAAATGTGTTAATTTTAAGATTTGTATTCCAAGGTTGCAGATTTGGAACACCTGGGACGTAAAGATTAAGACTGAGTTCCAAATGAACAAATTTTTATGGTGGAACTAACTCAATTAATTAATTCCTGTTTTAAAACCGGCTTGTAAAGTCAAAGTTATGAAAAATATTCATTGAATTGATAAAAAAAAAAACGAAAGAAATTTAGATAGTTGCAACTATCTAAATTGTTTAAAATCTATATTAATATAAAATATAATCAGCAATAATAATTAAAACTAAATTATTATTACGCTATGTTTGTTTTAAGGTGACGTTTACTTCAAAAAAAAGATCAAACTAAAAACAAACTAAAAAACAAGAGCTAGAAGAAGTTAAAATGATTCAATACCTGTTCGCTGAGGTGGGAAAAAATTAAAAACGAGCAGATCGACCTACTACCAAGTTATCTATGGTAAGCAATGAAACATTTAATAAAAGCACGAAGTTAGCCTGGTTAGTAAGGCCACAATAATTTCGAGACCATGTACGAACATTGTACGTATGTGATCTCTAAATCTAAATTTGGTAGCAATGGCGGCCAGACGCCGCTGATGGTGCGAACAACTTAAGAGGCTAAGAGCGACATCTAGTACATTTTTGTCTAATATTAGTTTAAGCTGCGACTATGCATGAAGCGAATAATTAGTGGCATTGGCGTTCAGCAGCAGCAGCGGCGGCGGCGAGAGCAATAGCAGCAGCGATAGCAGCAGCAGCAGCAATAGCAGCAAAAAATACGTGGAGCACTATTCGTGTATAGCCATATATAATTAGATGATGACTTTTCCGTGTTCCCCTCGTTTTGAATATAAGCTTCTTGCACTGGTTGTGAAAATGACTATGATTTTTGGGAGAGGCGGAGCGTAAAAGAATCAGGTACAGATAGAAAGTTCACTCAGCTTAAGAAATCGTTCAGAAAGCGAGCAGCGATAGTAGCACCATTAACAGGTAGTGAGAGATGCAAGCAGCTCAGCGAGATCCACCACCACGCGCACAAAAAGAGCAACGGCTGAAGCGGCATATCACAGCATCAGTAATAAAAGTATCAGCATCGTCATCGGGATTATATTACTAATACTAGTGGTCAGTTTCTTATTATCATTATAAACGAAGGTGTCCTTTTTATGACTATTAAAGATCATAAGCTAAGATTCAATGGCTCTATTCTGGAAAGCAATTAACCAGGCTTATTAATACTCAGGTCATATATATGTGTATATATATATATATATATATATAAGCAAAGCTGATTAGCAAAGCAAACCTAACTGACGACAGTGGGATCCTTACAACGTATATGTCATTTATAAGACTTATAATTTTTTACCATTATTTTTATTATCAGATATAGCAATAAATAAGGCATCTAGTACTCGTATCCAATTATAATCCAACAAGTATAACATAATATATGTATTTCACCAATACTATCAAATTTCGTTAGTAAAATTCAATAAAACAAAGGCCCTAGATTTGATTAGAATTTTTATTGGTTTTATAATTGTAAAATCGGTACAAAACAAATAGTGTTATTCTTTCTCATTAAAATTACTATTCAAGGCACAAACATTAAAGCCAAGTTTAAAAGTTTACTCAAGACACAATAGCGTTCATCAATGATTCAGAGGTGCAAGCGCTTTTATTTCTGTGTAAGCCAAAGCGAAGCAAATTCATATGGGCCTGGTGACACTAGGATAGATATAACGTTTGAAGATATTTCATAATATGTGAAAAGGTAGTTGTGCCAATTGGCTTAATAATAAAATACACCACACAAAAAGTTACACATAGTAATAACAAAGCTTATTCTAGATGCACCTTACCCTATTCCGTATATATAGCTTAAATAATACTTGACTTGTGTAGAAGCGAAAGCAAAAATTCGTAGTGAAATATCATTTTTAGCTAACGTAAAGAGCCTCATATTGCCCCTCTACTAGGCTACAGTAAAAAGGTACCTCAAAATTCTTATATGTATTCAAGAATTTACCAATATTAGGTCTGAAATCGAAACGAAGAGGAGAATCGTACTTAGTGGGTGTGGTGCCGTTCTAATGAAGACTGGTATTTATTAAGCTACAGTTGTACTATACTAGAATGTTATGATTTTATTTAGATGCAGGGAGTTCGTTAAATCGGTCCTAGGGTCAATAGCACGAATTCTCAGGCAGATAGAAATACGTAGCTGATTTGAATCGCATGGGTCTCAGCTGTACATACCTGGGTGAGTCCGGCGGAGTCAGGCGTCTGCTGCAGGCTGTTCTGGTCCTGCGCGACCGTACCAAGGGGCAGGCATGTCCAACTGTCATGAGCTGAGGCTAGCAATGAACGACATCGAGGACTCTGTTCAAAGTAAGTCGATTCTCTGAGAACTCGTATCTTGCGCTAAACAGGGACATATCTAGTATTTTCTTATACATTTGTGCTAAGATGACCTTAACTCCCGCCATTGCTACAACTAATCGAAATAGTCTGAGCCGCCTCCATTCAATGCCTTAGACCTCCCTAGGAGGCACCCGGAACGAACTTGAGCTGTTTGGTAATTTTCGACCATTCCTGCTGCCTATAATGACAGCAAGAGTCGTTGAAACTGGTGAAAAGTTGGTACTTGTTTGCCCGGTTATTCTGTGATGCGTTTTTACTATGACAGCCTAAGCTGAATTTAGTACAATCAACAACGTTTATTAAGAGCGGGCTCAGTCGTTGCTTTCCTTGGAGCAAGAAAGAGCTTTCGACTTACATTCAGAATATCACTTGTCGTCCCAGCATGCCAACGGCATACCCAAATACCGCACAATTTGTATGAATACAGAGGGTTATTTTGTACGCTTACTATGTCGTGGGATTTTTTTTTTGTTAAAATTACGCATGGTATTCTATTCTTTACACCAATCAAATCTACCGACGTCTATAACCGACCGTCGCTGTAAGCGAAGTTGGTCTGTTGAAACCCTGTTAATCGCTGCCTCATTTTACTTCGTCGAAAATTTATAAACATAAAAAAGTAACCAAGAGTTGCCTGTTGCTATTTACATATACATATCGAATGGAGTCAAGTAATTGCTCTTATCCTCTCCAACATTTATCACCTAGAAGAATTAAATTTATTCTACCTCAAGCTAAGACATCGAATACTCGACTAAATTGAAGTATGCTTGTATAGAAGAACGTCTAGTACTCAAACGGGTACCTATAACGCGATAGGCATAGCCGCCTTTGTCTGCCATAATCAACGTTCATTGGAATCTGTAACCCTTCAACTCTGCCCACGTTTATCGATTCCTGCTGAGGCTCGTTTCGGAATACAACAGTAGTATAAGGCCGTTTCACTCGTCTAGAGATAATGCGGATTATATAAACTGCTTAACTCGTAAACAACGCATTTTCCTAAAACGCGTGAGTAGGTATTAGCTGAGTGAGAATCGTGACACGTACCTATCTAATTAAGCGAGTAGAGTTTCACGACTTTATACGTGTCAACTTGAAACTGATGATTGCTATACATATTGCGAACTGATAATGGAAGGGCTACGATATAACTTCGAATTTGGGTAATCCACGTTTCCACTATGAGCGGTGTGTTCTTGGCTTTTACGTCAATGGCTTGCCTTTACATAGAGAGAGCGATAGGCGTCATGCCACACTCTCAAATAAGGAATCCAAGACAACTTGTAGGAGATGCAGCTAGAGGCAACAGCGCCTCTGCAGATTGATAAAAGTGTTTTATTTGTATTACGTTTTCAACTAAGGTCGGTGTTTTAATGTTTGCCTTATCCCTGTTTTTTTTATTGGTCAATGTAAACCTTCGAAGACAACCTTTTCGTCTTCTTCTATAGATCTAACAGTTACCTTCTCCTAGGATTGGACACGTAAATTCATTTTTAGAAGGCTGTCACCAGCAAAGCACGAGTATGCTAGTCGAGAAGATATGATGGTATTCATTTCAGTCTAATTTTATTTAATTAAATTATTTCTTCATTGCTCTGGAAACGATTCTACGAGCTTCCCTAACTAAATTTTATTAATTAAATACGAAACTGTAGTCTCCATCATATACAATGGATCCATGTTAGCCGATACTGATGACTTTCAGCTAATTGTACGCACTCTGTGTCTGGCAGTGACGTGTCAGCACATTGTCGACTCATTTTTTCTTCAAACGATGATTACGTATCCTTCATCGATACTGCTGCTGAGTCACGATTCAGAGCTTGTTTAGGCGATAAAACTTAGAAAAATTTAACGATTCCGTGACACTTCTAACGGTTTATTAAGACCAACGGAACACGGATTGATCCACATATATATATATATATATATATATATATAGGGTCGTATAAGCGCAAAATGCTGTTGAGAGGCAAGCTTTAATCCGCTAAATCAAGACTAGACTTGTCGCGTTGAAAGGTTTACGCAGGTCTAAAATGCTACTTTTGGTTTACGCGATGCTATCGTTCATGTGCTTTGTGAATACTAAGGATCTGTGCACATCAGAGGTATGAAATTGCACATATTTCTTTTTTGTGTGTCCTTTTCCTCGTGCCCATTCATCCCGTCTAGGATTTCCTGTTGTTCCAGTTCTGGTATCTTATCTTTTAGCTCTTCGAGGCTGTTTCTTCGTTCCAATTCGGCCTTTTTCCTTAGCCCTTCGGTTCTTTTCAAGGTTCTAACCGCTCTGGCCAGTTGTCTTGCGTTTTCCTTTATGTCATTTGGTGTGACTTTATGTTTTTTGCATAGTATTTCCAGAATTCCTGTGAGCTTTTTGACTGTGTCTATGGCTTCGTCAACGCTTTTGGATTCTGTTCGTACTTCTTCTTTGTTTTCTTTTCGTCTCTTATCTGTTGGACTTATGTCCTCCGTATTATTCACCGAAAATATTTCTTCCATGGTTCTTTTCCTTGTCCCGGCCTGTTCCTGTATTTTGTTTGGGCTCAGCCCTATATGGTTTATATGCATCTCCTTTTTGTGTCCTTCTTCCTCTGTTCTTCCTTGGTTTCTCTCTTCTTGTGTCTCTTCTCTTTTTTCAGGAATGGGGGTTCCTTTCGCCAGTGACACTGTGATACCGGCATTTGCATTAGTCTTGCCTTCCATTTTTTCTGTTTATGTTGTTCTTTAGTGGGTCACAGGACAGCGTGGCTTGTTCAAGCCGTTTCCTTTTGACAATTTTCGAAGGGGGGGGGGGTTTACAGGCGTGTGGCCTCAGCAATGCCCCCCGCGTATTGCTGCAGGGCCCCTTCCGGTCGTCATCCGGCACTACAACAATAGCGGGATTTTCGGTGAGTTGATGGGGCAGCCAAGTGATGTTGACTAGACTCCCGGGCCCCTGTACTACCTGCCAGCCCGTCAGTGCCCCACGGTTTTAGAGCGGTATCCTCACGTTCGTCCCTGTCCAGCGACTTGTCTTATTTCCTCCGGCTCTCCCGAATCCGGCGTTTTCTATCGTCGCTCCCCTACTCTTCACGTCGTTGAAGCCCTCTGAGTTGGCTTTTCTCCGCCGCTAGAGTCCCCAGGGTCCATCGTTTCTATTTCACAATAAATGTGTGAGAGAACGATGGGTATTTCCCTGGGGGCTGGTTCTGGTTCGCGCCGGGTATAATTTCCCGGTACCTACCATATCTGAAAGGCCTTCCCCTATCCGCTACCTGGGGACGCGCCCGGTAGGGGTCCAGTAACCCCTTCCGATCGTTGATTATTTCCTACTTCTTTCAACGACCGGACCTCCGGGAGCTAACCCAACAGCTAACCTAACCTTACCTAACTTAACCTTTTTCTTTTTAGGGATTAAGGGCAAATGCATTATGCAGACCAGACATCACTGAATTGTGTTTTCTCCGGTACTGTGGGACTCTCACCCACTAAACTCTAGACCTCTTTATCAGCTTGGGTCATGGTTCGGGATATGTTTGATATTACTTCGAAACCATGACTTGCAGGAACGATCATTTCATCATCCTTCCCTTTGAACCGTCCCAGTCCATCCTTCGTCCTGGCCTTCCTCTTGACCAGATACTCCAGGTCTCGAGGGGGACCGTACTCCCTGTTCTCCTGTTAATACCAATTGTAGTGCATCGAACCCATGATTGCCTGCCCTTCTACTATTCTCTTACGTTTCGTCCTTTCTAGTTGTTCCTTTCGTGTCATAATGTCGTCAAAGAAAGCCGTAACTTTGGCCCAGTTCGTCCTGTCTTGTCATCATATCCACCATATCCTTAGTACTGCCCTTTGTTGCGACTTCTCTGTGTACCTGCTTATCTCTGACCGCTTTAAGTGCCTGGCAATGAAGAAGAGTATGTTCTACTCCGTCCTTCATTCCCGACACAACCTAACCTAACCAAAACTTTTTTTCTGGAGGTTGAGGACGAATGCATTATGGAGACCAGACTTCACAGATTTGTTCTTTGTCTGGCACTGTGGGACTCTCACCCGCTAAACCCTGAGCCTCTTCGTAAGCTTGGGCCATGGTTCGGGATATAGTTTGATATCACTCCGAAACCATAGCTTGCAGGAACCGACATTAGGCTATTATCCCCTTTGTCCCGTTCCGGTCCATCCTCGTTCGAGCTTCCCTTTAGACCGGGTGTGCAAAGTCCCGGGCGGGGCCTTGTCTCCAGCTCTCCCATAAAAGCCGGCTGTAGAGTATCGGGCTCCTGCTTGTTTTGAGCTTGTCCTTCCGTTATTCTCTTGCGGCGCGTCCTTTCAAGAAGCTCCTTTTTTTTCATAATGTCGTCAAAGAAGGCCGTAACTTTAATCCAGTTCTTCCTATCCTTTGTCATCATATCAACCATTTCCTTTACTCCTCCCTTCGTTGAAATCTCTCTGCGTACGTCCTTATCTCTGACCCCTTTTAGTGCCTGGCAATAAAGCAGAGTGTGCTCTACTCCGTCTCCCATGCCTGACGCGCAGAGTACGCAGGTGTCCACTTGTGTTTTGTCGATCGTGGCCATGTAAGTCTGCAACTGTCCATGGCCCGACAGAACTTGCAAGGTGTGATACGTAAGCTCCATGGCTACTGCGAGTTTATTTCTTGACATCTGGAATTAGATGTCAAGTCAAGCTACCCTGGAACTCTTTTCCACTATTGGTCTTGGAGCTTCCCACTGTCGTTACCATTTGTCCATCGTGGCTTCGAGGACCATGTTGTTGTCGTTGTTTTCGTTTCTCTGATGGCGTTCCGCTCTTTCGCTGGCAAGCAGATCCCATGGGACCATTTTAGCCAGTAGAAGAAGGGCTTCAGTTGACACGGTTCTATACGCTCTAGGCTACATGTATTGCAACTATTCTTTGAGCGTCCAGCACTACGTCGCGGTTGGCTTTTGTTCTTAGCGCCATATCTGCCCACACTGGGGCGGCGTATAGCGCTGTAGCCTCCGCTACAGAGGCTAGTAGTCTCCGGCGGCCCTCAGAAGCTCCCCCTACTCTAGGCAGAATGCGGGGGTTGTTGAAGGCTGTTTTTCCCGCCTTTGCAGCTACATACTTAATGTGTTCCCCTCCAGTCATCGCGGTGTCCAGCATCACGCCAAGGTATCTTGCTTTTCTCTGGATACTGCTTTGGAT